TGCGTTTTTGAAATAAAGTTTTTTTTTTAAAATACCTATATTTATGGTAGAGTAATTTTGAGATATTTTTTTTGAATTACTAAAATCTGGAAGGATAGTGTTATAATTCAAAAATAAAAGCAATAATTGATAAAATAAAAATAATGAAAATGAATGATGATAATGGGGATTTGGGTTTTTGTATAATGTAAGATCCTGATGTTGTGGTTCTATCGGGGTCGTATGGTTCGAGGGTTTAGAAAAATAAAGACAAGTAGATATAAGAGAAATTATTAATGTTCCTCTATAGAGGTATTACAAATGACCTAACTGGTAAGTACCTGAAATAATACACTGAGACAACGAAGAGGTGGTGGCCTTCTCACGAATACCCAGTCGAAGTGTATATAAATATATATATTAGAAATCACATTAGGTTTTTAAACTCTTTTAGGCAACGAAGAGGCGGTGGCCATCTCACGAATACCATGTAATGTGATTATGTATAAGGTACGAACTAGTCAGTAATAATTAATGAAAATTGCAAACAAATATGATTATACAATCTATTGCTTTATCGTTCTTCACTCAGATTATTAACTCTAAATAATTGGGATAACATAAAATTACTTACTTCTTTAATTCTTGCAAATTGCTGTAAAATGATTTGATAAATATCTTGATATGCTTATATATGTTTAAAAGTATTTAATTCGCACTTTGTCAAAAGATAAATAATTAAAACAAGTTCTTTTCATATATAAATAAAACGCGTAAAAGTCAGCCGTCAACAACACATGGCTGTGACTGATAATTATTTCTTTTTCATTCTTATTTGAATTCGGAGAGAGCGAACTCCCGTCACTCTCTCACTCCTTGTGACTCTCTGGAGTCTGAAAGGCTTTTAGTGTTTTTTATAGAAAAATGATATTACCCCCAATCCAGGGATATTGTTGTCAGCGCTTTTAATAATCTTTTTAGTTTATTGTATTTAATTATACATTACATGATTATTATATTGAGATAGCATATTTATCAATTGATAAATTGACATATATATATAAATAATAATAAATTGTGTTGAACATCGTATTTGTTATGACAGATAAATTATTTGTTTGTTTACAAGTTATTTAAAATACAGATTATACATTTTTCATTGATAATTGCAAGATGCGTAATACAAAGCATTGAGCATATTATGACAATAGATTCAAGTATATTCGGGTTATTTGTCGTATTAATAATTAAAAATGGTCCAATGAAACGTTTTTCTTCTTTTAATCTTATAGTACATTAAATATACTAAATAATATAAATTTTATAAAGCTTTCATATATTTCAGTTAATTTTTATTTCAATAAATTTTATTTTCCGTTGCTATGCAAAATACTTTACAATTTTTTTAATGAAAATTGTATAATTGTTGGACTAATTACTGTAAAAATAAAGTTTTCGAAAAGATTTGATAGTGATAATTCAACTAAATAAGCACTGTATAAAATTTATTGATTTATTTAATTTAATTAATATTTTATTTTAATAATTACTTGATTTTTCTTTATAACTATTTAAATTCTATACTCAAATAAATAACTAAATCTAAACCTTGTAATTTCAGGTAATATTAATATCTAACTTGGTATTTCCAGTGTACATTTAGAAATTGTAATTTCAACCTTGTTATATACTTCTAAATATTGAAAAGTGATAGAATGACAACGTACTTTTATGTGAGATTTTTTATTTTTTAGTCTTTTTCTTTTTGTTAATCATATAGACACATACACAAGAATATTTGTACATATACAAGAAACGTCAACAACATAATTATTAAATTTTTAATATTTTAAATTTATTTATTATTACAGGTTATTTTATAATATTAATAGATAGTTTTTAACAAATATTCATTGCAATATGTAACGTGACAAAAAGTATCTGTTAATTTTTTTGTCAATTTGTACATGACATGTATACATTGTATACATTTGTGTTCTGAATTATCTTGGTTGAGCCGAATGCGTACTGCAACTGCGTTATCAATTAAATAATCATGATAAGGTGTTGTGATTTGTGTGTGCGCGTGCGAGATAGTCAGCTGTGTACTACTTCGGACCGGTTCATGGACGGCATTTATGTGTACATTTACCCATCTCCTTTCCTATCTTGAACGTCATTTGCACAGCTCATCACCTACATTGTCACCTTATGATATGTGATGATTCAAACTTTTCCTAATAATTTCTGGCACTGGGTAGTAAAATTTGTTGATCACTACTTTAAAGGCTAGCCGTGTTGTTGCCAACGGTCCACCTGGTCAAACGACGGAAGTTTTGTCAGAAATTAGCCATTGTCGGAAGTGGTACGCTAATTTTCGTCCGTAGCGGTGTGTTTTTTTTTTTAAGTTGTATGCGTTACAACAAATTGTTTTTTATATATATATTTTTTTATTGTGAGTGGCCGTTAAATTTGTAATATGTAGATTTTTAGTTTATTGGCGTCGGCTAAACCTGCCTTCAATTTCTTTGGCCCTTCGGGGCTGGTAACGTATAAATTTTAATTAATATTTTGAGGCAGAATTTTTTTTTAGTGCGCTGTGCCATAAGCATGTGTGGCGAATTTTTTTTTTTTGTTAATTTTTTGTAGATGTCCAGATTTTTTTTTTATTATTTAGGTCCCTCAATATAGCAGGCGTGTTACAATACCACCTGTCATGTTATATGTATTTTTTTTGTGATTTTTATATACAGAGTGATTTTTTTATCATAACCCACTCAATTACTTACAGAATAATAATAATTAAAATTTTTTTTTTTATTATTATCTTTAGTTACACATTATTCTTGAATTATTAACTATGTAATACTTTTTAAGTTCATCCCTTATGCCTGGTAAGGGTGTCAACTTTGTTTTTTTAAATGGTAACACATATTTTGAATTTAATAAAATGTTTGAGTTTTCAATTCAATAGTAAATGGCATTTGAATTTTTAATATAACTTTATTCGTTTATTAGATATACAAATTTAAAGTTTCAATTTTTTGAGTTAATATACATGTACAGGGTGTTCAGTAAGTCAGGAAACGGGTATCTATTGTTCTCATTGTTACAAACAATAGAAACCCGTTTCCTGACTTACTGAACACCCTGTATAATACACTAGGGATTAAAATTACAGGTAGCTAATTGGTTTTTTATGACATCGATATTAGCAGGTACAAAGCATTGTTATTATCAATGGTAGTAAGACACATTGTTGTGAGTTTATAAATACACTAACTGACATACAAAATGTATATCTATTGATAGTCATAATTGATAATAAATAATCCGTGACTGTGATAGCAATATCATAAAAAATCAATTAGCTACCTGTATATGTAATCCCTTGTGTATTATACCTAAATATTAACTCAAAAAATTGAAACTTTAAATGTTTATATCTAATAAACAAATAAAGTTATATTAAAAATTCAAATGCCATTTACTATTGAATTTAAACTCAAACATTTTATTAAATTCAAAATATGTGTAACCATTTAAAAAAACAAAGTTGACACCCTTACCAGGCATAAGGGATGAACTTAAAAAGTATTACATAGTTAATAATTCAAGAATAATATGTAACTAAAGATAATAATAAAAAAAAAAATTTTAATTATTATTATTCTGTAAGTAATTGAGTGGGTTATGATAAAAAAATCACCCTGTATATATATATTTATATATAGATTTTATATGATATTGGGTTATGCGTATATAGTATTAGTACAATGTGGTGAGGTAGTGCATTTTATTACGGTGTGTCCCAACGTCTTGCAAGCTAAGATACTGTTTAAAACCAGTCGCTTACTTGGGACGTATACCCGCCGTGCTTAAGAGCCGGTGTGTACCCGAAGACATTCATCGTATTCTCTAATTGTAAAAGTGTAAGTGTAACTATTTTTTTTATTAATATCTGTTTTTTTTCTCTGTTCCCCTTTAATTTGTAGACGAGGTTTTTTGACCGTTCGATTTTTGCCTCGTATTAACTTATGTGACAACTGTCAAGAGGTTTTGGTGTACATCAACTATAAATGACTCAACAAACATTAAATACAATTTTAGTACTTTTCTATTTTTTTTATCTTAAATTGTTTTTAATATACAATATTTATTTTTTTTTTATATTTGTAACCTTTAAAATATAGATATATTTAAAACAACTCATACTATTATTTATGTAAAAATATACATATATTATATGTTTTTTTGTTTAACAAATAATAACCCTTATTTGTGGTAAATGTATCATAACAAGAAAACTGATAATTAAATTATTTGTTATATTCGCGTAAAAAATATTGTGTGTTTCGTGTGCACACCAATTTTTGAACTATTCTTTTTATTCAACCACCATTAAAACAATCACACAAATAAATATATTACGGTTACACGGGTCAGTCGGGAAACATAACGTTTAAAGATTCACATTGGAATTCTTAAAATGTTAGAACAATATTTTTATATGTCTAAATTATGATACATATCAAGTACCCTACTAAAAACATATTTGTACTTCATTTTTTTTGTCGCGCTTAACAAATTATCCTTACCAAGTGATATAATAATATTTTAGTAAGGTATGATGACTAATATAATTCATTGAAGTAATAAACTCTAATTTTTATCGACAAGTTAAAAAGTAAAAATAATAAATCATAACATAAACGGGAAAAATACTTTTATAAATATTAATAAACAATTAATTACTTTAAAATATAATATATAATACATATTAATTAGTATAAATGTAAAAACCATAAAAAAGATATTATGATTGTGCGTATCAACTTTTTTTTTTATTCATTAATTTTTTTGGAATTAAAAGTCCATAAAAAATAGATTTATCTCCTTAAAAATTAACGAAAAGGTTTTTAATCATCTCTGAAAATAAATAAAATTGTAAAATTATTATTAATATACGAGTAGTCGATAATTTAAAAAATAAATATATAGGAATAAATAATATCTTAAGATCTTGAAGTAGTTGCTACACTTGTTAAATTCCAAAAACACTTATGTATATGCAATATCTACATTCCTGACAGCAAAAAATTCACAAAACAAAATCTCATAGATATCATAAGGCAACTCCCCAAACCATTCTTACTTTTAGGCGATTTTAACAGCCGAAACATTTCATGGGGATGCTCCCACACTGACGACCGGGGAAAAGTGGTTGAAGAGTTGCTCGACGACGAGAACCTCTTTCTCCTTAACAATAATGAGCCTACCAGACACAACATTGCCAACGGAACCTTCTCAGCAATTGACCTTTCTATCACAAACTTAAATTCTGCATCACTATTTGAGTGGCAAGTACTAACATCGTATAACAGCAGCGACCACTGGCCAATCGGAATCCAATTCTTTGACCATTCTTCCCCCTCTCAATCAAGCACCCATTGGAACCTCCAGAACCCCAACTGGGAACTCTTCTCTGAATTAATAGAGCATGACCTAAGCAACAATCCAATAGACTTCAATTGTTGTGATAATCAGGTTGAAATTGACTCAATAGTTAAACTTTTCTCGGATATTATCATTGAAGCAGCCAATAAATCAATCGGACTAAAAACCATCCTTTCCTCTAGAAAAAAAAATGTTCCTTGGTGGAATAAAGATTGTCATGAGGCCATACTAAACTACAAAAAGAAACTTAACCGCTACAAAAAAACCAAATCATGCCAAGACCATATACTCTTGAAAAATGCAAGAGCCAAATCTCGCTTCATTACCAAGAATAGCAAAACTCTTTCATGGCAAGAATTCACTTCCTCCATAAATCAAAAAACATCATCAAAAGTAATATGGAAAAAAATCAACTCCGTAAAAGGAAACAAGTTCAAAACAATCCCCGACATATTATACTACAACCAAGATAAAATTGTCTCTACTCCCAATGCCTCTGAATCTTTTGCACATTTCTTTCAAAAGAATAACAGCGACGAAAACTACGACCTCGACTTCATTTCACACAGAAACGCCAACAATAAGGTCCCAGAATTTAGTCAAACAAATGCACACTACAACCTTTGCTTTGATATATCTGAACTTTCCTCAACATTACAATCTTGCACCAGCAAGAGCCCTGGGCCCGACAATATACCGTACATTTTCCTCAAAAACCTACCTGCAATAGGAACTCAAACACTTCTTCATATATACAACATCATATGGACAAAAGGTCTCTTTCCTAATCAATGGAGAAACGCTAATGTAATACCCATTCCTAAACCGGGCAAAACCAAATTCGAAATCGAAAATTACAGACCAATATCGCTGATTAGCACTTTAAGCAAACTTCTTGAAAAAATGATAAACAAACGCTTAATTTGGGTCCTAGAATCAGAAAACCACCTCGTCAAAGAACAATGTGGCTTTAGACGTAACCACTCGACACTCGATGCATTATCCATAATACACACAGATATCTGCTCCTCTTTTAGGAGCAACCAGCACCTTATCACAATAGCCCTTGACATAAAAAAAGCATATGACACCGTATGGAGAAATAGAGTAATATCAATTCTTCACAGTTGGGACCTCAATGGAAACCTCCTAGAATTCATAAAAAATTTTCTAGACAATCGTAAGTTTTGTGTAAAAATCAATAACCACCTATCTTCCTCTCATGACATCGTTAATGGACTACCTCAAGGGTCTGCACTCAGCGTGACTCTTTTCTTAGTTGCCATAAATGACATCTGTAAAAACCTCCCAAAGCCCGTGAAATACATTCTTTTCGCCGACGATTGCAATATTTACTGCAGTGGGTCTCAAATCGAAACAACCTCTCATTTCCTTCAACTGTCACTGAACGCCCTCACCAAATGGTCAACAGAATCAGGTTTTTCGTTCTCTCCATCTAAAACACAGTGTATCATCTTCAATAAAAGGAAAAAAGACCCTCTACCTCTTATCACTTTCATGAATACCCCTCTGACATTTACCAGCAATATTCGAATTCTGGGTCTCACGTTCGATGACAAACTAAGCTGGCGCCCTCACTTGACAAAACTCAAAGCAGACTGTTTATCTAAAATGAAAATTATAAAAACAATCGGTAACAATACATGGGGATCTGAGACAAAAAGTCTTCTCAGGATCTACAAGTCTCTTATTCTCTCGGTACTCGATTATGGTGCTATAATCTACAGTTCTGCAAAAAGTAATACTCTCGACACCATTAATCCTATACACAACCAAGGTATACGTCTGGCAACTGGTGCTTTCAGGACTAGCCCGGTAGATAGTATCTTGTGTAATGCTGGTGAACTGCCTCTTGAACTTAGACGTCATACTCAGATACTAAAATTCATATCAAGAATCAAAAGTATGCCCAATCATATAGCCAGTAAGATACTCCATAATCCTCTCCCCCACAACTCTTCCAACTACAGGAATACAATTTTTGAATATTTCAAAATTACCAGTGAAAATCTCGACCTCCAAACTCAAACATTGAGCAAAGTACAACTCCCGTCGCCCCCTTGGCTCTGGTCTCCGGATATCAACACTCAACTTACCAACTACTGCAAACACTCTACTAACAGCACTATCATCCGCAATCTTTTCTCGGAAATAATGTCCCAACAATACTCCAGCAGTACACACATATACACTGATGCATCCAAAAACTCTAATGGAGTGGGTTTTGCAACAATCATAGGTCATGAAAATCATAAATTCTCACTTCCTCCTAGCACCAATATATACACAGCTGAAGCTTATGCCATCTTTGAAGCTCTGAAAATCGCCTCCTCCTTAAATTCAGATTCTTTCACCATCATAAGCGACTCTTTGAGTGCTTTAATATCTATCTCAAATCCATACCCCAAGAATGAACTAGTACAACACATCCAAAAACAGATATCTACCTCTAACAAAACTTTCTCTTTCATGTGGGTCCCCTCTCACGTCGAAATTTCTGGCAATGAAAGAGCAGATAAATCTGCAAATGAAGCCACACTTCCTCAAAATGCCTTAGAAATAAACCTAACTACATCCTCAGAATTGCTGGACATCATTAACACCAAAATCTCTGACACATGGCAAACTAAATGGAACAGAGTCCCGCTATCAAATAAACTGAGAAACATCAAGCCCTCCATAAAAAAATGGATTTTTCCCTGTAACCTCAAAAGAAGGGACGAGGTCATTATAACCCGGGCTAGAATAGGCCACACTCATCTCACCCACTCATTCCTCATCACCAAGGATCCTGCTCCACTATGTGACGCATGCAACGAGGACCTGTCGATCGACCACATTGTCACTAGATGTCCAAAATACGCTGCAGCTCGGAAAATATTCAAAGATTCGTCTTCTCTCCAACTTGCTCTCAGCGAAGAAAACACAGAAGCTATATACAAATTTTTTTATCTTATACATTTAAACAATAAGTTGTAAATATTCATAACTTTACATTGTAATAACTCTCTGCAGGCTAATAACCTAAGCTGTTGAAGCCTTATCATTAATAAAAAAAAAAAAAAAAAATATGAGAGTTAACTCATTGAACATAAGATTTAAAGATTATGATTGGAAATCTTTAAATGTTAAAACAATATAATAATTTTGATATTTTCATACAATAGAAAATAATCCAAGTAAAAAAATAACTGGTCGATCACAACTTTAGAATCAGTATTTTAAGAGTATGCATATTTTTATACCTTAGTCGAAAATGTAGCTTGACAGAGAAATGATAAAAGTAACTTACCCTCACATGAATTCCAATCTACATTTTAAAATATTAGTAACTTTCGTTTACTGGTGCGAAAGTTATCATCGACCAGTCATTTCATTAGTTGGATATTTTTTTATTATATAAGCTATTTATATTTATATTGTCAATTAAAAAAATAAAGGGATCATAATAAAGGACAAGTGATTGACATAAAAAGTATTCGACCACTTAAAAATTGAGAAAAAAATTATACTAAATAAAATAAAAATTTATTTATTCTAAAATATATTTAGTGGTCAAAGACAAATGAATCACTGTAAAACATTTTATGTAATTTTCTGTATTTGGGAAGGGTAGCTGATTTCATTTTACTATTTCCATTATTCTATAATGCAGAATAATAGATAAATATAAAACAAAATTTATTTTTCTCCAGTTCTGTTTTGATTATATTATAAAAGAACTTTGTGAAATTGAGACTACTGTCTAAATAAAATTATATTATTACTTAACTCTTATTTGACTAATGGAAAATATTTAAAAAAAAGTATAAGATATTTTACGAAATTATGAGATTTACACGTGTTTTTTTTTTTTGTTAACAGCAATTATTTTAATTTTGATAAAAAATGAAGACAAACAAGAATATTTTTAATGTTTTCATAAAATTTACTTTTTAATGACTATAAATTCATTACTGCTGTTAAAAATACAAATTAACATATTGTATACTCATTGTATTTTTTTGTTAATACAAATGTCATTTTAAATTGAATATAAACTTTTTCTATTTATACTTTTTAAAAATAAGTTATGATTATTACCACTGTTTAAATAAAATCGTATTATTACTTAAATCTTATTTTATTGATGGAAAAATATTTTTAAAAAAATACAAAATATTTCACGAAATTTTGAGATTTACACATGTGTATTTGTTAGCAGCAATATGTCGATTTTCGATTACAAATTAAGATGATCAATAATATTTTTCAAATTCTCATAAAGTTTTAAACTATATAATGACTATACATGTATTACTGCTGTACTGCTTTTCTAATACATACATCATAGGGTCATTCCATGTGATTTCACATGATAGATAGATATGGACACTAATTATAAATTTATCAACAATTAAATTGCTATTTATATGGGGTAATTCCATGTGAAATCACTTTAGGTGTGTGCTGGTATAGTTCAGAAATGTATGAAATTTATATCATAGACATCTTAAAGGTCATTGACGACAAAAATAATATTTTAGCTTCGATGCGAAGCTGAGAAGGTATTGGTTTTACTAAGATGTGTTTATTTATTTATTTATTTATTTTTTTTTTTTTGTGTCTGTTACCACATTTTCTCAGTTCTCACCGAACCAATTTCTTTCAATGATACGTCAAAAGATCATAAATTGTATCTAGTCGAAGACATTACCCTCAAAAATTGAAAAAAATGCCCTCGTTCCCCGTAAATGGGGGAAACCTCCAAAAAATTACAAATTTAAAAATCGCTAATTTTCGAAATTTTTTCAATTTTTTTACTTTAAACTGCCATAACTTTTTCAAAAATGAACATATCAATATAATTCTTTTTTATATAGATGCATAATATCATTACCTTTTGTTTGGTATATTTTTTTCATAAATTTAACCATTAACCTGCCCACAAGAAGGGATTTAAAATGACAACTTTTTCACAAAAAATTAACTTTTTCAACTTAACTTTTGAAAATGTTCCGGAAGGTCTGACACTTTTATATATATCTTAAATTAAAGCTAATGTAATATTCTTTATTATGCAAAAAAAAACTTTCGAACTTTATCTTATCTTCATGGTGAAAATGGCTACCAAATGCTATTTTTGTGTGAAAATTTTCGATTTTGTTTTTTACATTTTTAACTTTATTATGCTATAACTTTTTGAAAAATGTATGGATCAGTACAATTTTTTTATGAGAAGTAGTATTTATATAGATCTTTCATTCGACATACTGTTTTTTTAAATCGGACCATTTCCCTATATACGAGGGGGGTTCAAATCTAAAAAATGCATGTAGAAAGTAGAACTTTTTCAACTTAAATTTTGAAAGTATTCCGGAAAGTCTGACATTTTTATATATATCTTAAATTAAAACTAATGTAATATATTTTATCATGCAAAAAAAAAATGTCGGACTTTATTTTATCTTCATGGTGAAAACAGACATCAAACTTAATAAAAAAAATACGATTTTTGTAAAAAAAATCTTTTTTATAAAAACTTTTTGAAAGATGTATGGATCAATTTAATTTTTTTTTATAGATGCATGATGTCTTTACCTATCATTTGGTATATTTTTTTTATAAATCTTTTTACCTGCCTACAGGGGGCGATTCAAAATGACAACTTTTTCACAAGAAATTGACTTTTTCAATTTAAATTTTGAAAGTGTTCCGGAAAGTCTGACACTTTTATATATATCTTAAATTAAAGCTAATGTAATTTACTTTATTATGCGAAAAAAAAATTTCGGACTTTATTTTATCTTCACGGTGAAAATGGCTACCAAATGCTATTATTGTGTGAAAATTCTCGATTTTATTTTTTACATTTTTAACTTTATAATGCTATGACATATTGAAAAGTGTATGGATCAACATTATTCTTTTATGAGAAATAATATTTTTAATAATCCCTTTTTCATTCGACATACTTTATCTTAATTAGGATATTAATAATGAACTAGCAGATCATGTAGCTTTTCTATCTAAAGATTTGCATCGAAGCGTTTTTTTTTGATAGTGATTTTAATCACTGTCAGATATCATTATACTTAATCCAAGTATGCCACGTCACCACTGTGCCGCGACCCCCCTGTGCTGGGTTTTTATTTCTTTTATTTATTCTGCGTTCTGTAGTAGTTTAAAGTATTGGGATTCATTAAAAAATCCTAGGAGCAATGGATAAGTTCGGAACAGCTCCATTACTTTTTTTATAAAGTTAATTACATCAATAGATATTGTTGATTCTTCGACTACGTTTTAACAAATTTAGAATTTTTCAAATAAATATACGCACAAATATCTTTTTCATCTTCAGNAATTTTTCAAATAAATATACGCACAAATATCTCTTTCATCTTCATATTGAAGATGTAATACCAAGTCCATATATTTAGATCTACTAATTTTTTGTTCTTAAGAACTAACCTATTAATGTATAACTTTGTATTTTATTTTATTTGATTATAATTAGTTTAATTATAATTAGGTATGATGTAAACAGATATAAAAATTATATTTATGTATAATATATAAATAGAATTAAATTATAATGTAGAATAAATTTATAATGAAAATTATTCTATAATACACTCAAAATTATAAAACGTTTTATTATATTTTTAGAATAATAAAATTATCTAAAATACATAATATCTGAAAAAATAACGACTTTAAAATTAGTTGCTTACAATTAAAAAATTAAATTACGTAGTTTAAGACTTTTCCATAATATGTAAATGATGAATTTTGAAACTCTATAAGTTGTGTTATAATTATATTGTTTTAATATTGCCAAAAGAGCACCGTGAAAAAATTGTCAGAAACAAGGTGTGATAGTATTAAAGCAATAAAGTTTCATGTCCATTCAAGAAATTAGTGATGCGATAGATGAAATATTATATACAACACATGATCCGTTAATTAAAAATTACACTAATTCATTAAATTCAGAGATTAGTACAATAAAAATCCTTATGAGTTTATAATTTGGTATACAGTATTTGTATACTACAGCATAGTAGTCAAAGAATCAACAATATCTATTGATGTAATTAACTTTATAAAGAAAACTAATGAAGCTTTTCCGAACTTAGCTATTGCTTCTAGGATTTTTTTATGAGTCCCAATAACTTAATCTACTACAGAACACAGAATAAATACAAGAAATAAATACAAGAAATAAAAATTGAGTGTTGAAAATTACGTAGTTTGTGGATTTTCCATAATACCCAAATTGTAAATATTGTAAATTCTATAAGTGGCGTTAAAATTATTTCTCCATCATAAAATTTTGACCAGACCTTTTAATTTCCTAAAAGTAAGCACTATGTAAATTTGAAAAAAATTCGTTCAGCCACTGTTGCGCCATGACACTCCTAAATTAACGGTTGGCGTCAATAGCTTATAAGGATCATGTGGACCGATAATACTTAACCTAAAATAAAGTACATAACCTTTAAATAATTAATTTATATATTTAAAACGCAATTGTCGCCTTATGAGCTAAGGGATATAACAAATACTCTCTCTGGTGTTTGGATACTCCTTGATGTTTAGCTGAGCTGCCTCTTTATGGATCACATGAGCTGTACATTGACTTGGTTATCTGAGCTGATATTCTCTATTTCATTGAATCCTCTGCATAGGACAGCAGTGCATTAAAACTGTAGAATAGTGTCTACATTGTTCATAGCAACAATGTGGTTTTGTTTGAGAGCACAATTATGAACAGAGCACTGTATGAGCTTACATAAAAACCATCTACGGTGTGTAGAAGTACGTAGAGCACGTTAAACAATGCATGAGCTTGCAGGTTAGAGAGAACACTCACATATTTAAAAACCACAGAAACGTTAAATTGTACTGACAACAGCAACAGCAGCTGATAACAACAGTACAAGTGGGTATTGCACCATATCCAGTATTACCAACTAGAGGTCAACATATACTAAATTGATAACTCTTTTATGGGGCTCAAACAGTCACTTTTGTGTAATGAGATTATAAATTTGGCTATTTTCAGTAAACCACGCATGTTTAAGA